ACAAGAACAGAAAACCAAACACTGCATGTTCTCACTCATAAGTGGGTGTTGAACAATGAGAACACATGGACACAGGGAGGGGAACATCACACACCGGACCCGTTGGGGGGTAAAGGGCTAGGAAAAGGATAGCAGGGGGTGAGGGGATAGGGGAGGAATAGCATTAGGAGAAATACCTAATGTAGATGATGGGGTGATGGATGCAGCAAACCACCACCATGGCACGTGTATACCTAGGTAACAAACCTGCATTTTCTGCACATGTACCTCAGAACTTAAAGTATAATTTTAAAAAATGAGATTAAGAAACACACTTTAATACAAGAAAAAATAAACAGATAAAAATAAAAGCCCTGTCTCCAATCACAGTCACATTCTCAGGTACTGGGGATTCGGACTCCAACCTGTGAATTTTGGCGGACACAGCTAATGACAGACCCATTTGCATTTAATTTCCTTTCATCACAGCCACCCCTCTTAGTCTCTTTGATTAAGTTTTCTTGCCTTACAATGTAGATAATTATAGTTTCTACTTCATAGAGTTATAATAAGAATTTAAAATGCTCATCTACAGAAAGAATTTGGAAGAGTGTCTGGTACATAGTAAGTGTTCAATAAATGTTGGACTCTATTATTTCCAGGGCAGCTGCTTTGAATGAAGATACTTATCTGGGTAAATTAGGTCTGGTGTGTTTCTGAAAACATATTTGCTAATTTGTGTGGGCAAATTATGTGTTTCTAGGGTAAGGCATAATTTCATCTGAGAGGATAGTTCTTATTTTTTATGAATAATATGCAAGTTTTTAAAAAAGTGGGGATTGGTTTTAATTATTAAAGTACATGGAACTCTTGTTTATCAACATTGAGCTGGTTTTATTTGCTGGTTTTCCATTTGCATTCCAGCTCCTGGAATTAAGGTTTGAGGATCACAGTATGATGGCAGCAGCAATGTGTGTGTGTTTGGATGTTAATGTGCCATCTTTGTACATTGAACTGGTTTTATTTGCTGGTTTTCCATTTGCATTCCTGCTCCTGGAATTAGGGTTTGAGGATCACAGTATGATAGCAGCAGCAATGTGTGTGTGTTTGGATGTTAATGTGCCATCTTTGTACATTGAACTGGTTTTATTTGCTGGTTTTCCATTTGCATTCCTGCTCCTGGAATTAGAGTTTGGGGATCACAGTATGACGGCAGCAGCAATGTGTGTGTGTTTGGGGGTTAATGCGCCATCTTTGTACTCCAGCCCGGATACCCTACTTCAATAAAAGCAGATTCCCTGTTATCTTCATTATATTTTATAGTGCTGTGTAAACTTTGGTTTGAGAGAATTCTTCTACTAAAAATAGCCTGAAACCCACTAGCATAGTGTATAGATTACTCATATCATCTGCTCTCCCCACAATTGCTTTTATTCTGTGTATACTCCAGGGATACAACTAATGTTAATAAGAGCCTGAGGAAAACTTAATTGGGAAGGTAAATTTGTTGCAAAAAGGAATATAGCATAAATTAAACATAAATAATATAAAACAATGCATTTAATTATCTGCATCACTGCCTCCTTCCTCTAACATGGATATCTGAGAGGAGACTAATTTTCTTTCTGGGACAGGGTCAGATCTGAGCCTAGACCAGGGAACTGTGTCAAGGCCTGGAAAGACGGTGCTTGACCTACTTTTTATGTGATATGTTGGGCATTAGCTAAAGGCACTGCTGTTTTGATCAGCTAAAATTTCAGTAACAGTAAGAGGATCCACAAACTATCTGAACTGCTAATGCATGAACTAGTCTGTGTGTGGTTGAGAATGGCTACTTATACTGTTAAATGCTGATAATGGTTCAATGATGTGGTGAACCATTTATTAAACATTTATTTGTTGAATAGAATCCCATGAGCCCAGCAAGGAAAAGGGATTTCTGCCCAAGGAAGGTTTTCAGTTTGGGCAGCAGGCATTAGCCACCCAAAGCTGGTGCTGCTGCTAGAATCAGAGGCAGAACCAGACCGGGTCCATGTCCGATGCCCTCTGTTCTTTTCTCCCCACCATCTCAAGTGGTTTCATCTGCCCCAGTCTGCATGTCTGTGTGACACTCTGCCTTACCTTCTCTCAAAAGATCCAATCCCCAGCCAGCCAGAGTCTAGAATTCTCCAGGCAGGATTCCAAATGTTGTTTTCCACTGTTCCCACTGAGTACGCTAATTTTTGTCAGATGGCAGCTCCTGAATTCCGAACAGTCTGGTGTCACATGCCTCGCCTTCTGTCAACCCTCACTTCCTCCATTTGGGTTGATCTCAGCTGGGCTGGAAAACCCTTCTCTGTTGAAAGTAGGTCTAAAGTGGTAATGACTGACTAGCATGGACCTGCACCAGTTCCCAGGTATTTACAATTGAAACAAATTTGCTTATACTCAGAAATGACAAATTGGTGGATGTGGTAACATCAAAAGATAGTTCTTGGTCAGGCGCAGTGGCTCATGCCTGTAATCCCAGCACTTTGGGAGACTGAGGCAGGTGGATCACGAGGTCAGGAGATTAAGACCATCCTGGCCAACATGCTGAAACCCTGTTTCTACTAAAATACAAAAATTTAGCTGGGCATGGCAGTGCGTGCCAATAGTCGCAGCTACTCAGGAGGCTGAGGCAGGAGAATCACTTGAACCCGTGAAGCAGAGATTGCAGTAAGCCGAGATCATGCCACTGCGCTCCAGACTAGCGACAGAGCGAGACTCTGTCTCAAAAAAAAAAAAAAGTTCTTAAGTTGAAGAACAAACAAAAATTAGCAAATTAGCAGCTTAGCTCTGATACTTGGCAACCCTGGTATAAGATTTCCTGACCTTCTGCAGCCCTTCCCTTCCCCTTCCCACGCATACCCCAGAAACCTTGACCTTTGCTTTTGCGGGTCCTCGTTTAATCAAGTAATCACTCCTCTTCTAGCACCTGTAACATTCTCTGGCATTTCTAGCAGCAGTAAGTGGTTGAGGGCAGGAACCATGTCTTCATGATCCAAGTTCCTAGCTTACTTGGTGCCCAGTAGACAGATATGTGAAGAATGAATGAGTTCATGAATGCATGAAAGAGTGGAAAACTAGAATGGATGTTCTCACTGCTCTGAGCATCCATGTCATCCAGCCCTGCTGCTCCCTTCCCTTTCTGACCTGTATCGCCCTGCGAGGCCCGTGCACCTCATGCCTGGCTTGCACTGCTGAAGGGGCCTGCCTGGTTTTGTCACATTCAGACTTTCTTCCTCCAAATCATCTCATCGTGCCACCTGACTGTTTTTCTAAAAAACGAAAACATTTCTTTCATATTGTTCTTTTGCTAAAAAACGGAATGATTTCTCATTGCTTGAGGGATAGAATTCAAAACTCCTTAGCTTGGCATTTAATACTGACTAGCACTTGCCCTTGATATTTCTTTAAAATTAATTTAATTGTAAATATTTCAAACATATTTAAAAACGCAACAGTTACTCATTTACCCACCATTACAATTTAAACAAATAGCAGAATTTGCTCCATTTTACTTTGATTTTATTTCCCTAGTAAATAAATTTATTATGATTATTATTACTTTTTTGGAGATGGAGTTGCCCAGGCTGGAGTGCAGTGGCATGATCTCAGCTCACTCCAATTAAGTCTCCTGGGTTCAAGCAATTCTCCTGCCTCAGCCTCCAGCGTAGCTGGGAGTATAGGTGCATGCCACCATGCCTGGCTAATTTTTTTTTTTAAATTTTTGTAGAGGTGAGGGTTTCACCATGTTGGCCAGGCTGGTCTTGAACTCCTGACCTCAGTTGATCCTCCAGCCTCTGCCTCCCAAAGTGCTGGGATTATAGGCATGAGCCACCATGCCTGGACCCTAACCAAATAAATAGGCAAACATTTTAGATACAGATAGGCCCTACGCCATCCTTCCCTCTCCTTTCCTACCAGAAATAGTCATTTCCCTGTTTAACTTTGCTTTTCACAACTCACTGCGAGAACCACTTGCTCCAGTTAGATTTCTCTTCTCTCTAGAGTTTCATCCTCCTTTCTTTTTTTCTCGGAAGCCCAGTTCACTTTTCACCTCTTTTGGTAAGCGTTCCCACCAGTCTCCTAGTTCTAAATTGCCCTACAAGTTATTGTCTCCATTGCTCAAGGCAGACAATATTCTGCCTGGTGACAGCTTTTATGTGGCACTCTTCTCCTAGTATTGGTTTTCTATTCCCCTTATAGTAACTTTTTCCTCTGGCTTTATATTATAGTGAATTGCATGCGTTTCTTCTCCACGAGGTGACAACCTTCAGAATAAGATCTGAGTCTTAATTGTATTGATTCATTCCTTCTACAGCTATTGACTGAGGGCTTACTAACAAGCTCCAGGAATTTCCTTAGCACTGGGGGTGCGGGAGTGAACACAAAAGACAGTCACTGCCTTCGTCGAACTTAAGTTCTAGTGGGGGAGAGAGACAGAAATTACATGAGTAAATAAATGTGTCAAGGTGAAAAGTGCTAAGGAGAAAAGGGAAGCAGGAGAAGCTTATGGGTGCTACTTCAGACACACTTTAAGTATGTGTCTCTCCTTTATGCTCTACGTCAGTGCCGGATGCAGGGGGCACTGGGTATACTGAATTGCATGATATACCCAAATAGATACTATTTGATTCCCTGCAGGTGAGACACTACTCAGTGTAGACCTTCTGTCTGGGAAAATGGTTATAGAAATGCAGATTTTAATCCTTTGCTGCCAGAAGCACAACTTGGCTGTTCTTGCCATTATCGGTAGATGTGCACTCTGGTCATGAGATTATAACACTAGTTTTAATAAATCATAAGGGAGGAAAGGTCTGCTTTCTGGCATCATATTTATTCCATAGCCAAATGGAACCAACGTGGCATCATCTTTCCTCCTGTGCTTCTTCAGCCATCAGACCAGTGGAAGGGTCCCTCTCTGCAGTGTTCCTAACTGTAGTGGTATTGAACTATGGTTACCAAGAAGACCAATCTTCTCTTTTTAATTCTTCCAGCCTCCAGGAAAGAATAAAATCCCTCAACTTGTCACTTCAAGAAATCACTACCAAGGTAAGTACCTTTATACTCCCATTTTCCAAAGAAGCCTATGAAGTTTTCCTTTGACTTGATTTTACCACTAGATTATAGGATACCGAGCATCTGGGAAAAAACTGTAGATTTTGCAGGCCCGATGATGAGTTAAAAGAGCCAGGAGAGAGTGCCGCTGTCATAGTGGAGGTCTCAACTTGTGGACACCCCAGAAATGGACTGGGTTGGCCTTTGCTGCAAAAGGAGCTGTCAATTTAGGGACTGGAAAAAGACTGTCACTATGCATATTGAGTCATTGCTTAAAAATGCATTCGGGGCTGGGCGAGGTGGCTCATGCCTGTAGTCCCAGCACTTTGGGAGTCCGAAGGGGGTGGATCAACTGAGGTCAGGAGTTTGAGAACAGCCTGACCAACATGACAAAACCCTGTCTCTCCTAAAAATACAAAAGTTAACTGGGTGTGGTGGCAGGTGCCTGTAATCCTAGCTACTGGGGAGGTTGAGGTGGGAGAATCTCTTTAACCTGGGTGGTGGTGGTTGCAGTGAGCCAAGATTGCGCCATTGCTTTCCAGTGTGGGAAAAAAATGCTTTCAAGATGGTAGTAATTTGAGAAATTAATTACTTTTCTTCCCAGGAGGGCAATGTCTAGTTTCCTCACAAATGAAATAGTCGGTGGCTTTTTTGTTGTTGTTGTTGTTGTTCTTTAAAGCCTTTCAGTTGGCTTGACAATCATTTTGCCTACTTTATCCATCATTTATATTGCTATAGCAAGACCTTGGTTTGTGTACAGACAGAATACTTCTTCATTATTTCCTGAGAGCACAGGTAATTAAATTAAATAATCAATGTCCTCATTAGTTAGGATAACCACAGTTTACAAAACAAAAGCCGTTCCCTATGTATTTATACCTGGCTGAGTTATTGGCAGACTGAGAAACAGGATCAATTTCTCTGTGAATTATGACTAAATGTTGTAGCAGAGAACTGGGTATGAATCATTCATTATTTGCAGTAGGGATTGTTGTACGTTGGTCAAAATGTAAAAAGGACACCTTGCTGAGCAGAGAGCAACACAGCTGAGAGCCTGCTGGCCTGGAAGGACTCTCTTCCAGTCTCTGTGCCCAGGGAAAGAAAGTCTTGGACCCTAGATCAGGAAACATGCCAAGAGATCACTGCAGCTAAGCTGAAGTCAGGGATGTGTTGTTGGCAAAAACGTCTAGAGTTACTCTATGCATTTTCTCCATTTCTGTATTGAATTTATTTCTGAAAACAACACCCAATGATTTTGCTAAAAGTCACAGAGCCACAGGTTTGATGAATAATTATAATTTGCATACAATGAGAGCTTCCTGTTAGGACCAAATGGTACCCATAAGACACCATTGGAGCCAGGGACCCAGAAATTCTTGAATTCTGCTCTGCTCACCCAAAGGCTTTGTCACCCAGGATTTGTTTTTAATTTCCAACTAGTGTTAAAGATCTTAGATTTTCCCAAATATCAAAAATGGTTTGCTTTGTTTGCATACAGTCTTACTCTATTTAAGTTGCTATAACGAAGTACCATAGATGGGGTAGCTTATAAACAACAGAAATTTAATTCTCATCACTTTGAAGTCCGGAAGTCTGAGATTAGAGTACCAGCATGGCTAAGTTCTGGTGAGAGGCCCTCTTCCAGGCTGTAGACCATTGACTTCTTGTTGTATTTCTGGATGGAAGAAGAGGGCAAAGTGGGGTTTCTGGGGCTTCTTTTTATTTTTGAGATGGAGTTTCACTCTGTCACCAGGCTGGAGTGCAGTGGCGCTATATTGGCTCACTGCAATCTCTGCCTCCCAAGTTCAAGTGATTCTCTTGCCTCAGCCTCCAGAGTAGCTGAGACTACAGGCACGCACCACCACGCCCAGCTAATTTTTATATTTTTAGTAAAGTCGGGGTTTCTCCATGTTGGCCAGGATGGTCTCCATCTCTTGACCTTGTGATCCACCTGCTTCAGCTTCCCAAAGTGCTGGGATTATAGGTGTGAGTCACTGCACCTGGCCTCTGGGGCTTCTTTATAAGGGTACTAATCCCCTTCACAGGGGCTCTATTTTCATGACCTGATCACCTCCCAAATCCCCCGCCTCCTAATACCATCACCTTGGGAGTTAGAATTTCAACGTATGATTCTGGGGGGATAAAAACATTCCTGACCATTGCACATACCTTCTCTACTACATTTATAAAACTTTATAATTACGTTACTTTTCCATAAAATTAAGGAACTCATGTCTTTGATTTTAAAACGTAAGTATAAAAGCCCCATTTGATATTGTGTTCCTTGGGATCTAATTTTATTTATAAATACAAAGGATACACAGATTTTTCTGGGGATGTGTATGTGTGTGTGGATAGGTGGACAGGTATGTGTGCACAGTCATGAGTGTGTGTATGTGTGTGTGTGTGTGTGTGTGTGTTGTGGGTAGGGGGCTATGTTAGTCCACAGAGAATTAAAACAAAACTATCCAGTCACACAAAACACCTTTCCCTTTACTTTAAACTAGATTGACCAGTGATCATGGGGTAAAGGTCTCAGCTTGACATAGCTTTCTTTCTCTAGTGTGTTACACACACACACAGACACGCACACACACACACACACACACACACCCTGATATTATTTAGATTCCTGTCCCAGAAAGAAATGAAACCTTCCTTGCACTCATTATATTTCTTCAACTCTTATGGGTTACCCAAACCAAAGGTAATTAAGGGATAAATGAGATAGAAGAAACAGTTGGAAATAAATGGAATGTCTGGAGATTGGTAGGTATTAGATTACATCCAGCAAAGCCTGAAAGAATGAACATTGCAATTTAATAAGAAGATTCAGAAAGGTTGTTTCATATTAATAATGACAGCTTGAAGGATAGATTTGCTCAACAAAGGAGAAACTGACCCAATTGTGTTGAACAGATACTGTTCACTAAAATCAGAAATATTGGACATAGATTGACTGAGACATAAGTATTATGGCTGGTGTTACAGAGTTGATGGAAATGCCCTCAGACCTCAGATGACATTATTAAATGGGTAGGATGGGATGTGCCAGTCTTCTGGGTTTGAGCCAACCCAAGACTTGGTGCTGGGGGAAGGGATCTCTTCCTTTTAACTCTGGTTCTGACATCCTGAAAAGCTTCAAGACTGCTGAAAGGGTCCCGGAATTAATTACTTTGGACATGTGGCTGCCCAACACCACCAGGGAAGGCTTTGGTTTAGAGGCTACCAACCTGTCGTCTTCATCCAGAGAATGATTTTTAAAGATGTTGGAAAGTTACAGCTACTGAACAGAACATATGGAAGTCCATGAGAGAAATAGTGGAGTATTTTAGGCAGGATGGGTGAGGTCTGCTTTGACTCTAAAAATAATCTCAATTCAGCAGACTGATATAAGAAAACATTTAAGGTTGACGGTGTCCAACAAACCCTAGATTCTTATGGGAAATTCAATTTTTCTAGGTAGCTCATTAATCTGAGTCTAGATAACGTTACATATGAGGTTTTGGCCTTCAAAACGAGAAAAACAAATGTGATGTTTTAGCCTCCAACAAAATAAAAGATAACCTAAAGACATTTGGAAAAAGAAATTAAGGGTTTTTTTTTGTTTGTTTTTTTGATATTTTTGAAGAACCGAAGGAAAAAAAATGTAGGACGTATTTGGAGTGTCATGGGAAAATACATGATAAAACTCTCAAACCTCACTAAGAGTAACTTGTCTATTTGTCAAATCTGACTTGCCAGCAAGTATCTATCTGCCTTCCAAGTTTCTCTAAACAGTGTCTACTAATACTAGTAGTTACACCGAGCTTGGAGCTCTGACATTCATCTCAATGGCCATATCTTTATTCACCGCACACCGTGTGCCAGGCACGGAGCAAAGTCCCTGCTCACATAGAGCTTGCATCCCAGCAGAGAGACAATACGGAAACAAAGGACTAGAAGCACATGGTGTGTCATGTGGGAGGAAGCTGTGGAAAAACATCAAGGGAAGGGAGGACAAAGGGAGGCTGCTATTTTGGGTGGGTCATCAGTAAGGCCTTTCCTCCCAGGCAACGACTGAACAGAGAGCCCCAAAAGGCGTGAGTGAGCGAAACCACCTGGGACTACCAAAGTGACGCGGACAGGAGGATTCAGCAAAGGCCTGCAGGAGGCCGGAGGCAGATGGGATGCAGTTATTTTAGCCTGTGGTTGCTCTCTGTTGGGTCAGCTCATATCAGCTTTGTAATTGGGTATGGGGCAATGGGCATGTGGTTGGAATGCACCATTGCTCACTTTATTTTCATTCTTTTTCCTCCATTCTCTCCTCCCTTCTTCCCTCCTTTCCCTCCCTCCCTCCCTTCCTTCCTTCCCTTTTCTCTCTCTTTCTTCCTTCTCCCTTCTTCCCACCCTCCTTTCTTTTTTCCCTCCCTCTCTCCCTCTCCCTTCCTTCCTTCCCTCCCCCTTCCTTCCTTCTTTCCTTTCTTTCTCTCTCTTCCTTCCTTCTCCCTTCTTCCCTCCCTCCCTTCTTTCCTTTTCCCATCCTCCCTCCCTTTCTTTCTTTTTTCCCTCCCTTCCTCCTTCCTTCCTCCCTCCCTCCCTTCCTCCCTTCCTCCCTTTTTCCCTCCTTCCCTTCTTCCCTTCCTCCTTCCCTCTCTTCTTTGTTTTTCTTTTTCCATTGCTTGCTTTTTGAGCATTACCCTCCAATCACTCTTCATCACCTCCCTTAAGTACTTATAGACCCAGAAATCTCTGACCTGGCTGTTGTACTGCCTTCTGATTTTTAGCTGAATAAATAATGATTCCTGGCCATTTCTCTCCCCCTAGGTGTGTATGAGTGAGAAATTCTGCAGCACCCTGAGAAAGAAAGTTAACGATATTGAAACCCAGCTACCAGCCTTGCTTGAAGCCAAAATGCATGCCATATCAGGTAACCGGCAGTGTAGGAGACGTTGAGGCTGTCCAACTAAAATAATGACGGCCAGCCAGCATGTCGCCTTTTGTCCTTGATGAACATTCCACTGTTATCATGTTATTCTCAGACATCTGAAAGATTTGCTGGGGAGCTTCACTAATGCACACATAATACAGCACAAGTTGTTGATGTGAGTACCATGTTTGAGACTTCTAGTTCCTGTTTCTTGAAGAGTTTAGAGACTAATGTACTCTGTGTGCCATATGGTTCTAGCAGATGTGTGTATAGCATTGTGTATCTGTAAATGCCGAATGAGGATTATTAGGTGTGATCAGACCCTTCCTATAGTGGGAAAGATGGTAGCATGAGAAAAATTGATGTTCTCAGTTGAAAAATTTAGTCACAGAAACTTGGAGAATCCTCAAAGGATTATGTTCCCTCTTGCTCTGGCAGTTATTAAGGAATCGATTTTTCCATTAATTAGTAGCTTGAAAACAAGAGTCTCTGAAAACAGTATCTTACCCTATCATTTGATAGTGCTTTCAAACACTCTTCTGTATTTGTTATTTTATTTTCACAATTGCTATATTAGGTAGGCGGGAGAGGGACCGTGATCCCAATGAATAGGTGGGGAGGTTGAGGCCACAGGATGTGTCCTTTGGTTATGGTCACTCAGTTAGCTAAGCAGTGGCAGATCTGAGGCTAAAGTCCAGGCACTCTCTTGGTGTGTTATATATGGATTTTTAACCCAGTTACGTAATGACGGCTTCGAAAAGTTCTCTGAGTTTTATATAGGTTGAATGAACCCACAGCTCATCAGCTTCAAAGGAATCATAAAAATTTAACGAAAAGGTATAATAATTACATGTATGGGTTTTAAATGGTATTTTAAGAAGGAATATAGTAATTGGCAGCTTCTGCTCCTCAGATCATTAAACAACTAATGTTGGCAGCTAACGAGCAATTTGGTCCCTGGTGCAGTCATGCATATTATTTACAACCAGTAGAACATGGTAGTGCGCATGTGGGGCTTGGCTCTTAACAGCTTCACATGCTATTTACTTGAAATTATGGGCCCATTTGCTAAGAGGAAAAAAAAGAAAGGAAGATTGAACACAGTCTTGCTTCTGAGTGAGGGTTTTTGCCTTTCTTCATCAATATGTCTTTCCCAGGAATACAGGTGGATGAGTCTGTATTAAGCCCAAGGGAAGAAATGTATAATTTAGGCAGCAGAGATAGTCTCACTCCAATGTGAACAATCTCTCTTCAGACTCCAGGGAAAATTCGTAAGATGGTATACTGCCTATGGGGTGGGTTTCCTGTTTTAGCTCTTTGGTCAGCTGAGAAAACTGGTGAAGTTTGATCTGCTGAAGGATGACCTGAATTAATCCTCCCGGTAACTAACCTTTTGACTTCACTATTTTCTGATTACTGTGTATGCTCTTTGGTGAACGGGCCTTTCAGAGTCAGTGGGCTGTCCCCACTAGTGATAAGGTGGTCAACATTTTTTTGCAACTCCTGCATGTAATACTATTTCTGTTTCCTTCTATTTCAATATCTTCAGAATGAGCAAACCCTCACTCCGTTAGGTAAGAGTCTTAACAGCCCTATTGAATGGAGAGGATCCTAAGGGAGGTCCTTAAGATTAGTAGGGGGTCTTTTGTCTGTCTTCAGGTGTCTATGATTTGCTCTCTTAAATTTATAGACCAGCTGATATGGTTTGGGTCTGTGTCTTCACCCATATCTTATCTGAAATTGTAATCCCCATGTTCAAGGGAAGGACCTGGTGGGAGATGACTGGATCATGAGGGTGGATTCCCCTGTTCTGTTTGCATGATAGTGAGTGAGTTCTCATGAGAGCTGATGGTTTAACAAGTGTTTGGTAGTTCTTTCTGCATTCATTCTTCCTGCCACCTTGTGAAGAAGGTGCCTTGTTTTCCCCTTGCCTTCCGTCATGATTGTAAGTTTCCTGAGGCCTCCCTAGCCATGTGGAACTGTGAGTCAACTAAACCTGTTTTGTTTATAAATTAGCCAATCTCGGTATCGTTATTGCAGTGTGAGAAAGGACTAATACATCCCTCCTGAATTTGATCTACGACCTGAGGCCCTTTCTCAATTTGAGAATTATTTGCCATTTACGGAGAGCAGGAATAAGAAATTAGTTTTCATTTTCAAACCTGGCCAGATCTGCCTCCTTTACATTTAGCAGTTTATTCTTTAATTCATCTCCCTTGTCTTGCATTTCACCACAGGCAGTGACAAGAAGTCAGTGGGCCTTTCTGTATTCTGCTTGGAAATCTCCTTGGATATCTAAGTACTACTATGAGGGACCCTTTTTTATATTGCCTCAGTTGATAACTAAGTGACTTTTTACCACTACAAGGATCTCTTTTTTTATAACTTCTGATATATTTTTCTTACTTTTTTTAGCCTTCACTGAGGCTGATGAGGCTTCCGCCTACTGCCAAGTCCCAAACCAATGCCTCATATTTTAGGGTTTTGTTACAACAGGACCCCATATGCAGATACCAAAATCTGTTTTCATTATCTACTGCTGCATAATAAACCACCTCAAGACGTAGTGACTTAAAATATTACCAGTTATTAATTTTGCCCTTGAAAATACAATTTGGGCAGGGCTTGGCAGGGACAGCTGGGGTGGCTCAACTGGGGTGGGAGAATCCACATCCAAGATGGTGCATACATATGGTCTGGCTGTTGAGTGCTCTCTATGTGGGCCTCTCTATAGGCAGCATGGCTTCCTTACAACATAGCTGCTAGGTTCCAAGAGCGAGTGTCCCAAGAGGAAGGAAATGGAAATTTCTTATTTCTTAAGGTCTGAATTTAGAAACTGGCATGCATCTCTATTAATGTGTAATAAGTGGCTCCCCAAACTTCATAGCTTGAAACAAAAAACCTTTATCTGTCATAGTCTCTGAGAGACAGGGGTCCAGAGTGACTTAGCTGGGTGGTTCTGACTCAGGGTCTCATAAGTGTGCTGTTAAGACACACTTTGGAGATGCAGTCACCTAAAGGCTTGGCTGGGGCTGAAAGACCTGCTTCCAAGCTCGTGCACGTGTTGTTAACAGACGGCTTCAGTTCCTTGCCACATGGGCTGTGCCACAGGACCTCTCACAATATAGCAGCTGATTTCCTCAGAGCGAGTGATCTGAGGGAGTGAGAGCAAATAAGACAGAAGCCACAGTGCCTTGTTAGGACTTAGCCTCCAAAGTCACACAGCATCACTTCTGTTTAGTGACTAGGAGCAGGTTACTAAGTTCAGCTCACAGGCAAGGGGAAGGAAACAGGTTTTACCCCAAGGGAGGGGTATTAAAGAATTTGGTAGGCATATTTTTATAACTATTGCAGTGTTACTTCCATTGTGTTTTATTGGTCCAGGAATCCTGGTGCCCTGATTCAAGGGGAAGGGCCATTATGACAAGTCTCAATGAGTGGTATGTCAAAGAGTTTCAGTGCCATGCTCTAAGAAGTGCCACAGCGCCTACTGAGATGGAAGGATTTTGAGAACTAAAGACCTGGACAGAGAACTTTTCAGTTAGCGGAAATGGCCTGTTCCATTTGTTTACTCAACAGAAAAATATCATTCAGCATCTACAAAGTGACAGGTCTAGTTCTAGGTACTGAGGATGCAGTAAAGAACAGAACAAGATCCTCCCTCCTTTTTTTTTCTTTTTGAGACAAGGTCTCACTCCACCCAGCCCGGAGTGCAGAGGCAACATCATAGCTCACTGCAGCCTTGAATTCCTGGGCTCAAGCTATCCTTCCACCTTAGCCTCTGGAGTCACTGGGATTATATGCATGAGCTCCCGGCTCAGTGTCTCTTCTTTTTTGAGAGCTGTGTTCTGCCATTGGCCACAGTGGCGTGGAACTAGATATGCCTGGGCTGAATGTGGAGGAAAAGCACACTGTTTCTTCAGGAGGAAGAGTGGTCTAGATTGACCCAGGTTTAAGATCAGTATTGTGGTAGCTCTTCAGAGTTGGTTAGGACCAGGATACACAGAGCTCTGAATTGTAAGCTAAGGATAAGAGCAATAGGGAGCCATTACAATGTTTTAGAGGAGTAGTAACATGACTAAAACTAGACTTTAGGAAGTGTAAGCTGGCCACGTTGTACACAGAGGGACGGATGTGATAACAGCTCGGGACTGGGAGTCATGGAATTAACTAGGATTTTAGAAATGAAAAAAGGGAGAAAAGAAGGCTGGTGTAGGAAATCTACTACAGATAGGTAATTATTGATTTTTGGAGGAACGCTGATACTAGTATATCCAACTGAGTGTGGTGTAATACACATTAAGAAAAGTAACTTAGAAAGCCCATCGTTTCTCTCCTTTTTCACTGACCTGTACACGCCTTGACTGTGTTTTAGTTGTCTTTTTTCTTTCCATTCTCTATTTCTGCTTCAATTTTCCTGTTCAGCAGAGAATAGTTTGGTCTAAAGCAGATAGCAAAAGTGGATTGATTCTGCTGTTACTGTCCTTCCTAGATGTATCAGTTGGTTCTTACACTGCTATAAAGAAATACCTGAGACTGGGTAATTTATAAAGAAAGGAGGTTTAATTGGCTCATGATTCTGCAGATTGTACAGGAAGCATGGTGGCATCTGTTTGGCTTCTGGAGAGGCTGCAGGACACTTACAATCATGGCAGAAGGGGAAGGGGAGGTCAGCACTTCACATGGCCAGAGCAGGAAGAGGGGTGCCACACACTTTTCAATAACCAGACCTTGTGATGACTCACTATCACAACAGCAGCACCAGGAGGGATGGTGTTAAATCATTAGTAAGAAACCGCCCTCATGATCCAATCACCTTCTACCAGGCCCCACCTCCAGCACTGGGGATTACATTTCAACATGAGATTTGATGGGGACACAGATCCAAACCATATCACTAGAGAAGGAAGGTACAGCCCTGAACCCTATGCATACTGACTTAGAATAAGACACTCACTAGGGCAGGCACAGTTCTCAATTTTTGAGTGTAGGGGCCATAC